AACCTGGTGTTTTCCTTGGCTATAGGTTTCAACCTGGGATGAAGTGGCGCAAAGAAATCGTGGTGTTACCTTTGAAGGAACTCAACCGTAACGATTTTCATGAGTGCCTGAATCCCATCAGTGCCTACCAGTTCAAGGTTCCGGGGGGAGACTTCACGTTTCCTATGAAGGAGAGGTACGAGCGCATTCAGGCTGGATTCTCGTCCGAGGCCGTTGAAGGCCCTGTGTCCCAATCTCTCGAAAACCAGGATGCCGAAGCACAGGATGAGCAAGTCGGCGATGATACCGCTCCTCCTATCGCTGACCTGGCGGTCAAGCCCCCTGAAGTGATTGATCCCAAGACCGGCAAGATTGTTCCTTTACCGGAAGGAGGAAGGTTCTATGATTCAAGTGGCGTGATTGGCCGAAGATACGGGGGGACAAGGGGATCCAAGAAACCTGATTCCATACCTAGTTCTATCTGGGTTAACTTGTCCAAGAAACAGAAAGAGAAAGCCATTGATGATGAAGCACGAAAGATTGCTCTTGCAGAGCTTGACGAAGAAGTTGGTGGCTCAGCAAGCAGTAGTGCTAAGCCTTCTGCCGCCGCATTGCCTGACAAAGACTGTTGGAAGATAGAGGGGAACAAACTCACTAGGTTCCATTTTGTTCCTAGAAGAGAGCTCTTCTCACCTGATCTCACCGATTGCCCTGTTGACCTTAAGCAAATTAGCAAAGTCCGCAATTCGGTTATCTTCCCAGTCGGTGGAGTTGATATTATCAACGATCAGGACGATTGGCGCAACGTTCGGAGGCGTAATAAGAAGACGTCGTTCAAGTGGATCGGTAAAACCGAGTTTATTATCACCCCACAAGTTCCTGCCTCTGGCGAGGTCAGCGGGTCACGCCCCGAGTTTCCCGCGATGCCAGTATCGCTCGACGGAAGTCCTGAGCACAGAGAAAAGAGTTTGCCTAACTGCCCCACGTCGCTCGAAGAGATCAATGAGCTTATGGCTATGGTTGCCAGACCGGTGGGCAGAAAGGAGATCCTTAGCAATCCCAAGGCCCAAGCTGCGTTAGATGTTGAGTGGAACAAGCTCATGCAGAAGAAGGCTTGGGACATGGCTTCTGTTCGGGAATGGGAAGAGGTTTCTAAAGAAGCTAAGAAAAAGGGTAAGAAGGCCCATGTGGGGAAGGTGTTCGAAATATGCGTGGAAAAGGGAAGTGAATTGCCTGCTAATGATCCTTTGAGGAAGTTCAAGGGAAGGACGGTTTTTCAGGGTAATAATGTGCGCGACGAAAACTCCGATTCCGCACTGTTCTCTGAGTTGGGGTCCAGCCCCGCAACCATGGAAGCAGGAAAGGCCCTTGATGCCTATGGTCACGCTCCTGGAAATGAGTGTCAACAGGCCGATGGGAAACAGGCCTACACCCAAACCACTTTGAAGGGTGCTGACACTTGGGTTCGTCTCCCTAGAGATAGATGGCCTAAGGAGTGGATTGGTAAATACAAGGATCCTGTTGTCCGCCTTCACCTTGCGCTGTATGGCCACCCTGATAGTGGAGGCTTCTGGGAACAGCATTGCGAGCGCATGCTGAAGCAGGTAGGGTTCCAGCTTGTGTTTTCAGCAGCATGGCCCTCAGTGTTCTTTCATCCTAAGTTGAAGCTGCTTCTCGCCGTTTATGTTGATGATTTCAAGATGGCGGGCCCTAAAGAGAACATGGCCCGTGGATGGGAACTTATCGGGTCTAAGATCGATATGGATACGCCTACCCCGGTCGGAAGATATCTGGGTTGTGATCACATCACCAACACTTCCACCCTCAGGAAGGCCGACCATCCTTTCGCTCACGTCTTTGACAAGACCGTTCCCGATCCGGCGGCGAAGCCTGCTAGTGTTGCAGCTAAAGAAGACTACACTGAATCGTTCCCCGAAGAAGGTGTAATGGTTCGACATCATTGTCAGCCTCGCAAAGCTCTTTATCAACCCCGCGAAGCGGAAGCTTCAGCTTATGGGCTGGGGCATCACAGGTGTACCCATCTCACTGATGTTGGGAAACCCGATGTCGTTCACGAATTGTGGGATGATAATGGTAACCGCGCAAAGCGGGGGGAGCTGTGGACAGGTACCACTTATATTTGTTCTGGTTCCCATGATCGCGCCAGTGCTATGGCCGCTGTGCAACGCGTCAGGGATAAGAATGAAGCCAAGAAGGAAGCTAAGAAACAAGCGTTCTATGATATCAACCAATTGGGTGACAATCAAGGTTGCATGTACAAGAAAGTTCGTGAGGTCATCTATGACATGTCGTCCTTTCTGCAACAAGCCATAGACAAGTACAAGCAACTTGCTGGTCCTGAGTACCACAATCTCAAGAAGGTCAGCACACCCTTTTATGATGATAAAATCGCTCGCCCAGTGGAAACTGAGGCCGAAGCAAAAGGCAGGCTGGCTCCCATCGCCAGTCGAGTCCTCATGAAGTTGCTCTTTGCAGCAAGGATGGCCAGATACGATCTGCTTCGGGCCGTTCAGGGGTTGGCTAGTAGGGTCACCAAGTGGTCTTCCGACTGTGATAAGGCTTTGCATAGGCTTATGTGCTACGTGAACAGCACCAAGCACTATACCATGAAGTGTTTTATAGGAGATAAGCCTTCTGAATGCAAGCTTTGGTTGTTCGCTGACAGCGACCATGCTGGTGAGCACGACAACAAATCTACGTCCGGAGGAATCCTGGTACTTGTTGGTCCCAACACCTACTACCCTCTCGCCGCTTTTAGCAAGAAACAAACGAGCACTGCACTCAGTTCCACTGAAGCAGAGGTTGTGTGTGCTAATGTTGCATTGAGAGCCTTAGGCCTTCCTTCATCCGCACTTTGGAGTGTGCTCCTGAACGCGGGGGGGGATACTGCAACGAAATCGCCCACTCCTCTGACGAGAGAGTCCAAACCTTTTGTTCCTAAAACCACTCCCTTGCCCGAGTTTGGAAAGATCACTTTCACCGGCCTTCAAGAGCTTGACGACGGGCGTGTGCTGGATGTGTACAATAAGATTAAGGTGATTCCACCACCCGATAATCTCACTTCGCACCCCATTCGTAATGTTTGGCTCCTTGAGAAAGGTAAGTGGTTTGCATACCAATCAGATGTGGCTTGGGAAGAAAGGGACATGCTTGATGAGATCCTTGATAAGGAATATGAAGCCGGCATCTGCGTGTATCGTAGATCAGTCAGGGACTATCGCCGCCATGCGGAAGCAGAGGCATACCTGCATCGGGAGATCGATGGCATCAGGAACACGGGGGGTGACTGTGACAACGCACCTACCAGGAATGATACCGATATAGGGTTGATCGTGTCGGTCCCTCACTCTGTTCAGCCTGTTGTTCTTGAAGATAACCAGGCCACGATTCGCATTCTTGAATCAGGTAAGTCTCCCGCATTCCGGCATGCTGATAAGACCCAACGCCTCAATCTAGGCTGGATCTCAGAGCAGTTCAAACGAAAACATTACGAACTTGCTTATATCAACACCTTGCTCCAAGCTGCGGATGTCCTTACAAAACCATTCACTAGTGCTGAGAAGTGGAATAGAGCACTACAGTGTGTGTGTGTGTGAAGTCTTCACAGCTTTAGAGGCTGTGGAAAAGCGGCATGGGGGCAAGCCTGCACTAATGGTAACCTCATTGATAACCTCATTCATCTACATCGCAACAGCCCCCAAGCAACAGGAGAGCAACTCCAGACCTAGGCAGGTCTATGAGAGCATGTCCTGAGCTACCCGTTGCGGATTTTCTTTCAAGAGGCTGCGTCCCAGAAAGCTGTGGCTCGTCTGTCAATCTCCACCGCCATGCTCAAAACTAATACAAAGCTGGGCGACCTTACAGGGTACTGCAAAAACGACCTGGCGACATCCGCATCCAGTACCGGGGCGTTCGTATGAGAGCACAGCTGCAAATGGCCTCGCTGGCCCGCAAAACTCTCACAATTGCTCAAGACATGCACCACGCCCGGTCGAACGGACTTGCCACAAAAAATGCAGCGCTGAATCCTGGCGCTGCTGGGGCGACCGTCAAGATGCGTTGCTTTGACAAACCCTGCCCTCAGCCGACAAAAAGCTCTGATTGCCAATTGCGACTGCCAGTCCAGGTTGGAAAGAATGGGAATCAGCTTCAGAAGCTGGCTTGGGGCCTGTTGGAAAGTCAAATACTGAGGAACCCGCACTTGTCGCTGAATGCAAACGATCCAATCCTTGCGACTCAGACTCGCGCAACACTTCAAAACATAGTCCTTGTACTGGCTTAACAGTGCCCCAGGTTTGTACCAATCTGGCCAATCAGCAATCTCATGCTGATCCAAGAGTGCTTTACTACGAAACGACCAGGAACTTGACCATGAGTGCGCCAATAAGAAAAGCCTGCCGTAGTACCTTGGGGACGGCCTGTCTCTTAAAAGGTTCGCTACCTCAAAAAGCAGGCCTTATATAAGGGTCATTTGACCTTTAAGGGTCATTTGGGGATATAGAGGTCATTTGAAATCGACGAAAGTGTATCATCGAACAACAACACAAGATGTATGAACAAAAAAGATGCACACTATGTTGTGCAAAGCGAAGTCACCAAACATTGTCGTACAGCTGCAGCTGCACTTGTACAAACTTCACCCGATAATACTGTGAGCACGGAAACTTCTAAGCAGAAGTTTGAGCCAAGCATTTGAGCACGTTTGAGCCATTTCGGGTTTAGGACTTCACCGAAAAGCATCGTGAGCATCGTAAATTCGAAAAGAAGCATGGAAGCTTGAGCCGAACACATGGAGCATTATAAAAAAGTTTGAGCCAATTACATTAGGGCGTTCGGGTGTTTAGCGACTTTAGGGCTGTAGGGTCTTCGGGGTGCGAGGGTTAGGTTCGGAGAGTTGGGAAACCCACACCCGAAAGCCACAGCAAGACCCAGAACTCCCTGAACTCCCTGCACTCCCTGAAGCCCTCGCTGGCTCGGTGGTCACCTCGATCTCGGTCATTTCACACATATTTGCGAAGGTTGGTCTTCAAAGTCACCAGATGTCTCTTCAGGACATTCATGCTCGCAGTTTTATGCGAGCACTTCCTGAACATCTTCAAGCACCAGCGAACATGGTCCTCATCCATAAAAGTGGCATCGTACGCCGGATTTCTTTTGCCACCGTGGCCTTCCAAGAGATGCTGTAAAATGTGAAATTTCGGCCTCGTCTTGAACAGCAGCTTTCCCGCCTCGTGCGCATTCACTGCTAGCTGCAGATATCCATGGAAAAAAAGCCGAGCCAGCACTCGAACTTGATCCCATGCCTCATCAGACAAGAAGCAGCCTGAAGCAAAGAGGAACTCGCAGGTATGATTGGCAACCCATACAACGCCCGGCAAGCCGTCGTACGGTGGCGGCGGCGGCCTTTCCACAAGTGTCGTCGCCAACCAACCAAGAAAAACAGCCGTGTCGGCTGCAGAGCCCTTAAATTCAGGACATTCATCCCATCCAAGGCCATTCTTCGTGAGCTTCTTGATCGAAATGTAGTGCTTCTTTTGTTTCCCAAAAGCCTTGGCAGCTGCAAGGATCTGCTTCAGCCTTGCATTGATATTTCTTGCGGAAAACCAGTGTTTGCCGGTGGCAATGATTTTCAGAGCCGAGCCCACCAGGTCACGAGCCACACCCAAGTGCCATGTATGCATATAGTCAATGCGAAGCATAGAGAGCTGGAAATAGTGCAGTTTCGCGAAAGCAGGCTCATCGGTCCAGGGCAGCTCACAGTTGCCATCATGATGCATTGTGCTCCGCCACCCAGCTGCTTCTGAAACATCAGTATACACAGTACTGAAGTCTTTCCGCCCCATACTGGCCTCACAAAAGAAGCAAACCTGGGTTGGATAGGAATACAATCAAACAAAAGTTCCTGCGATTATAGCCTATACATATTACACCTATGTAGAGGGTTCGTATAGCTTCGATGTAGTTTTGTATGACGAAAGCCAAAACCCCAAGGCCCAACAAACAATGGAACAAACCCTTAAACAAAAATATCCTGCCATGTGCGGTCTCTGTACCTTCTCCGACCCCGGCTTGCGGGTGAGGTTGAAGGCCTGGCCCATTTGTTTCAGGTCGCCTCTGAAGCCCACAGGAATAAAGTAGTATACCTGAACAGGGAGGATTGGGGTCTTATACACTACAACATTTGCTGAGATCGCGGGCTTGTGATTTAGGGCTGGTTTAAATCCCAAGCACCTCCTTGCCCACCAGCAGACCTTCTGCGCTCAGTTTGTTGAAGTCGGCCACAATAGCTGAATTCAGGGTCTGAAGTGTTATATTCGTCTTGCTCTGAATGAGGTAGCTCTGCACCAACAAAGAATACATGATGTAGCGGGAGGCTTTGGAGTCCGTGCGGCATTCGGAGAGGTCAGGTGTCCTAGAATATTGGTTTATGGGCAATCAAGGATTCGAGAAACCCTGCTAGCACCCCATAGCTTGTGCATTATAACTATACAGGAAAATTTGCAGAACAAGCCAAAGTTCCACGAAGCCAGCATCCATGAAGTACGGTTGAGGGTCGCTTCATCACCCCAGATCATTATAGGAATGGCCCGACGGTACAAATCAGGGCGGCCATCCAACACAGGAATATACAATTCCTGCAATGTTTGGTCCCAGTACTCCTCCAGGGCAGCTCTGTCCGGGATCATCGTGTTCAAGAACCCCTCTTGCACAAGGCACCGTGCCTTGGATCAGGTTCTTGGGTTATATTAGCTTTTATGTGTGTTCAGCGGTTCAGCATTTGATGGCCGTCACAACTAAAGTTGGAAGAACTGCTAATGTAATCGAGAAGCAAGGTTGGAAGGAAGAATAATTGGGAAGGCTTCTATGGTCTCTTCTTCCTCGTTTTGTGTTGCTGGAGCATTAATCCACGTCAGCTCACAGTCGAAAGCCAGCCCAGTTCCAGACAGTCGCGAATGAAACTCGGCCTCTCGTAGAGGCCTGCTGCTGTATCCATCCAATAGCCGAGACCCGTAGGCATCTCCTTAAGCTGTGGTTTGGGATTTGGGATTTATTTGCTATCTATATGTATATAGAGGGATACCGTGCTTATATTCGGCGGGTTGTGTTACAACTATAGAACCCCAGCAATATTGGCAAGTCACCCAAGTCACAGGCCACTGTCAAAGTCGTGTCACCAGCACACGTAGCTCGAACCAGCCTTGGGCAGGGAGCTTTCGGATTCTAGTTTCGGTCTAAGTGGGCTTTAATTTGAATCATGCAATGAAGAATTACAGGTGTATGGACATATGGAGTTTGGGGTTATGGATTTGGGTATTCAAAATCAAGGCGCTTCTCATCGAGGACATCAGCCACCTTCGGCGGCTCGGCAGCCTTCTTGGCACCTGCACACGTCGCACTTGATCGGATTTGGGGATTGGAGACCAAGCGGGATGCTCGCAGTAGTCAGTATAGAGCTTTCGAAAGGATTGTTTTGGCCCCAACGCTTTGCTTGGTTCGAGATTGCCTGCATGCAGCCATAACTACAAATGCAAGCGGCAAATTGGCATGTGGAGCATCCTGCACCTGTTTGGTGCACGGCCTCACACTCCAAGCCCCGGTAGCCCCTTGCGCTATGGAGGTTCTCCGCAAAGTTTTGCAGAGGTTCCCCTAGCAAGAGGATCCCACATATGCAAGTCGTACACATTGACGAGCCCAAGACCCTGCTAAGTAGTAAGGATTATATAAGTGCCGGAAGGATCAATGAAACCGTAGGCCCCAACTTCTATCAACATCCCGAAATCTGCGATCTTCAGTGCTGCTCTATATAATCAGCAAATGCACGACCACATACATTGTAACTCTTCGAAGGAAACGATGTGGTTCCTGGGTAGAGACCACATCCTCATTGCTATCACCGGTGCACTGCGAAGATAGACATCGTAAAAGGGCCCAGGCAGTAACAGGATTTGGGGCAGCAGAGTTTTAAGTTCGTAACGATATGCACCAGCAATCACCCGGAGAATCATATCAGGCAGCCCTCTTCTGGAGCTCCTTCAGCAGGCCTTTGATTTGCCCTTTGCACAAAGAAAGCTTTTGAACCTTGGCTCCCAAGCACCCGAAGCACACTAAGCCCAAAGAAAAAAGTCGCAATCGACAAACCAAAACACAACACTCATCGATATCCAAGGAAACTTCATCGTGGATAGCGTCGCACTGGCCATCCATTTCCTCGGCTTGGGCATCTGGGTCCAATTTGTTGAACCTCGGTGCAATCAAGATGACATGAAGGTGTGGATATGGGGTAGAAATCAGCTAATTTAGACTGGTTGCTTCCTCGCGAGCATTTCGAGCCTCTTCTTGTGACCCTTGAGGTCCTTGAGCAGCCTCTGGGAATCATCATCAGAAGCATCCCCCATATCAAAGATCAGGTCCGTGATGCCATTCACACTCTTCTTGAGCTCCTTGCCTTGCATTTGACAACCAGAACACCGCCACTGACTATGACAACGACAATGCAAGAGAATCTTAAAGTGCAACCTAGCAGCACCACTTTGCATGCTTGTCTTTGGAGCACTTGAAAACCTCATTGATCAAGGAGCTTGCTTTAACAGTGGTCGCCGTAGATCCTGCAACCGACCCCGCTCGTCGTGACGTGGCTTTCGCTGCCGGCCGTCTCTGATTGCGTCCAGCACCTCACTGGGTTCAGGATGTAGGCCCCTAGATATGGAATCAAAACATATCAAAACCATATCTCGCTGTCTCTCACTCTCTCTCTCTCTCTCTCTCTCGGTCTATCTTCGGGTGCTATGGTCTTTGTGGAATGTTACAATATCTCGAGGTTTGGGTAACACTTGAAATATTCGGTCCCCACCTGCTCCACTTGCCTCCTGCAGTGCGAGCTGACTCAACTCGTCCTTGCGCTTGTCGAAAGCCCTCAGGACATCGGCCTTCAGCGGCGCTTGCTGGGTCGTGGCAGCCTTCTTATTGAGGAGGCCCGGATCGGCACCAGGAATAGGAGCATCAAAGAATTGTGATCCCGGACGACAGTTCGCTTTGAAGTTCTGCTTCAGCCTTCAGTGACTAGACAGAATACAACAAGCAGGCCTGCACATGTTCATGCTAAACATCCAATGCAAGCCGTGCTCCTGTACTCGGTGCTTTCCACCTGGGTGCGGCCCACTATACACCAGTATAAGGTGTCAGGAAGAGAATCTGGCGCTTGTTCATCACGTTCCCCCACTTGCGTTGCAATTATGTGTTGTATTTTCTGCCTTAGCTGCAGATTGCAAACATGGTGAAAGGAGACAGAATGTAGAGCTTGAGCGAATCGTTATAATTTGCTGCCGAAGTACTCGCTAAAGTAGTGGGGCTTTCTGTGCATGTTCTTCACAGGGATCTGCATCCAGACTTTCTCGCCACGCACACCGGACTCCTGCGAAACCTCGATGGCGCTCTCGCAAGCCTGCAAGTTCTGGCCCGAAAGCACCCAGTTGCGCAACAGCTTGCGCTTCTCCTCAGCACAACCACCGATCATTCGAGCCATGTTGGTCGATCACGACACACACAAACACAGACACTTGCACCCACCCACACACACACACTTAAGTAGACCTCTCTCTCTCTCTCTCTCTCTCTCTCTCTTGCTCTCGGCACTCACCCTATGTCTCTCTGACTCTCTGCTAAAGTTGAACTATGCCATAAAGTAGGAAATTAGAAAAAACCTAATCGAGTTTAGATGAAGTGTCAATACAGATATAATGTTGTTAAATTAGGCTAAAGTAGTCAGGCCAAGATATAATTTGGCGAGCGACATCCAGGGTGCCCTCCTGCAACGCCAGCATGCTCGGGTAGTTGGCCAGTGCTCCAGCATCGTGCAATCGGTTCTTAGCAGATATAATAGGCACACCTTCTAATGCTTGTCGGGGGAGAAATATTCAGGGATCTATTCAGCAAAGCGGCGAGTTTGGCATATTCTTTTCGGTGCGTAGCAGATGAAATCCTCTCAGACGGCTCCTCCAGCTTGACATCTGACCCATCCGTTGGCATCTCCGTTGGTCTTGGAACCGGCTGGGCTTGAGTCTTGATCTTTAAGTCGTTCAGACAGGCGGGAAGAGCATGGTTCGCTGGGGCAGGCGACGGCGAATCGTGGAACACATGCACCTTGGCCCTGACAGGCGTAGCCACAGGCTTTGATGCAGCGGGTTCTTTCGAAGCGTCTTCGGGCACGGGGTCCTTTGTTTCCGAAGTGGTACTTTTCGAGTCGCTGCTGAGCTGCGACTGAAGTTCGGCCTTTTCCAGTTCCAACTGCTGCACACGCTGCAACAGCACGCTCATGTCAAGTGCACTTGCAACTTGGCTTGCCGAGGGCCCGAGATCGCTGAGATTCGTCTGGGAGTCCTGGCGGTCCTTGTTGGTGAGGCGGCTTGCGTGCAGCCTGGCTTGACTGTCCACAAAGGTACTACCAGACCTCAGACGCGATTGTGCATGTGATTAAATTGATCGCAACGGAAGTTGAGTATGTGAGACATCATGTATACATTGCAATCAAAGCACACTTGGCTATCATTCGCATCACCACGGGGCGGCTCCGGCCCAGGCAGTGCCAGCAGGCACTGTGCATCCGGCCCCGACTTAACTGCTGGCACAGGAGTCACGGGAGCAGAATTTCTGTGAGCCTTCAAAGCAGCGTCCAGCTCACTCTGTTGAGGAAGTCCTTGTCTCCATAGGTCGTACTCATAGCAGAGCTCATCCCAATCCTTGAAAAGGGCACTGTCCTCGTCGTCTTCCTCCGGGTTGGGGTTCTCGGGGATCTGGTCTGCTTCTGCGTCTTCGGGGATCTGGTCTGCTTCTGCGTCTTCGGGGATCTGGTCTGCTTGTGTGTCTTCGGGGATCTGGTTTGCTGCACCAGTCTTACCTCTCAGTCGCTTGGACGGCGCCTCGAGCACCTCAGCCTCAGGTTCATGCACAAAAGCTCCTTTGCGCTTCAATGGTGGAGGAGCCTTGGCTTTAGAAGCTTTGGCTTTCGGAGCCACAGAGCTTCTCTTGCCAGTGTCCACAGAATCGACTGGAGCTTCAGACGGGGGCTGCTTTCTGGATTTCTTACCGGCTTCCTTGGCTGGGGGCTGCTTTCCGGATTTCTTATCGGCTTCCTCGGCTTTGGTCTTCTTGCGCTTCGGCTGGGGTTCATCGGCTTCGGCCGGGGCTGCTGACTCACCTGCTGAGGAGTTCGTGTTGGCTTTCTCGGCTTTCTTGGGCTTCTTGGAAGGCTTCTTCGCCAGGGACTCATTGAAAGCAAGGAAAACAGTAACGGCATCAGGGTAGCTGAGCTTCTCTTTCTTCATCATGTCACCCAATGTCATATCCGCCACTCCCACTGGCGTTGTAAGTGGGATGCTGGGGGGCCTCCATTTGGAGGAACTGGAAGGTGCAGCTGTTTTGTGATCCCGCAATGCTTCCTTGTACTTCAAGCCACGATCCAGAGCCTGTTTCGTGGCCTTCATGATAGAGCTGACTAAAAGATCTTCCTGCCTTCTGCAGGGAGCTATAGACGGCTTCGCGGCAGTGTTCGATGCTATAGATTTGTAAAAAGCACAGATTCCACGCGATTTAACGGTCAAGTGGCCTGGATTTAACGTACATTGGCACATTTTCCACGCGACGACTTTTGCTGTGGATTGAAAGATCCTAGCTAGTCCGAATTAGTGGCATTGCCCCAATCCAAGCAAAGCAGCTCTATAACTCGATCTATATATGTATACAGCTAGCTAGGTATAATGAGGGACAATTGAATGCAGGGATTGTGCATGGGAATTCCACACAAACAGCCGGACTATACAAGCCGACCATCTAATTGAGGATTCCAGCTGCAAACGGGCCGATGCCAGCAGCAATGTCCTCGCTGCATGGGCGACACGGGGCTGGTCTGCAAAGTTCGAACCCCCGAAACATAAATTTAAATGCAATCATGGCACAGCTTCTGAAGGCTGTGTTCGGTCCCGGGAACTCTTGCAAAGAAGCCTCAGATCGAGCTATGTCGATGCGTTTTGGTGTGTTTTCGTGAAATTCATTGTGTTCCCGAGGTCTCGTGGACTTCTGCGCTTTTTTGCGCTTTTTTGCGCTTTTCTGCGCTTTTTTGGTGTTTTCCAATGGGTTTCGTGCGCTTTTCTGCGCTTTTCTGCGCTTTTCTATGGTTTTGCAATTGATGGTGCGCGTTTCGTGGTTTTTCGTGGAAGGCTGTTGCTCTTGTTGGTTTTGCAGCTTTTGACTGTGGTTGGAAGCGAGAGGAGCGGAGAGGAGGGAGAGGGAGAGGGAGAGAAGAGGGGAGGGAGAGGGAGAGGGAGAGGGAGAGGGAGAGGAGAGGGAGAGGGAGAGGGAGAGGGAGAGACCCACACCCACCCACACCCACACCGCTACAAAACTCCCGAAAAGCAACCCCCCTCTCCCGGCCCGGGTTGCTTTGAGGCATTTTTGAGAGGAGGGAGAGGGGAGGAGGGGAGGAGGGGAGGAGGGGAGGGGAGGAGGGGGAGGAGGAGGAGAGGAGGAGGAGACGATGCGAGCAAGGAGGGGCGAGAGGAGAGGAGAGGAGAGGCTCGAGAGGAGAGGAGAGGAGAGGAGAGGAGAGGAGAGGAGAGGAGAGGAGAGGAGAGGAGAGGAGAGGAGAGGAGAGGAGAGGAGAGGAGAGGAGAGGAGAAGCGGAGCGGAGCGGAGCGAGGAGGGCAAAAAAGAAGAGAGCACTCACACAGTGCAGATATGTATAGTGCAATCCGACTCAGCCAAGGCACTTCAATCGATCTCGGAGACAATCCTGAGCTTTGGGCTGACTTAAAGGGTCCAGGTTTAGAGTTGCAGTTGTCTCGTGGATGGCTGCATGCACTGCTGCAAAGCTAATTGGAGAAGCCGGCTTTTTCCTGCACCAAAGCTTGCACATGTGGGCCGGGTGCGCACTATTTGTCGTCGTCTGATGCACTGCTGCTGGAAGCGTACACTGCGGAGCCGAGGACCAAAGTCGAGGCATTGGATGGCGACCGAGATCTGCGACGACGTCGTGCCTTGGCCTCCACTTTTTCACTGGACTGAGTCTTACCCTTGTCCTTCTCCGCCAGAATCTCCATAACAATGCGCTTCCTTCGGAGCTCCGCGGTCTCACTCTGCACATCCTCTTCTAGCGGCTCACTCTTTACTGCAACGACTTCCTTGTCCTCCTTGCCCGAGGAGGATGCTGCCGCTGCTGCCACCGTTGCCGCTGTTGCCGCTGCTTCTGGCTTCTGTGGCATGTGCTTCGACGACGGCTTCATGGTAGCACAAAGATCGAAAAGGGGGATCGACAGGGCACAGCTATTCTTGATCCGGAACTGAGCGGGCATGTCACATCTGCTGTTTTGCTGAAACGTACCTGCAATTATAATAAAGGCCGAGGTTCCCATTGGCCTTTCAGAACCACGTCTTTGGACCGGAGGAGGTAGTGGCCGCATTCCGGTAGTCCAGCCTGGGATGATTAATTAAGCATAGACGATATAGATCAGAATCACAGCTTTTTCAAGTATTGAGCCTAGAGGCCTCCAGGCTCACCGGGCAGCTCCAGGCACCAGCAGACAACCGGTCGGAAAATAATTCATAATCCGATTTGCCAAGGTCCACATCGGTGTGACAACGAGGTCCTGGCATCTGATCCTTGGCACATAAAGAATTATGGTGGATGCCCGCATCGGAAGCAACAAGAAGCTCTCTTTGCGGTTTGGAAGCAGCATGGTTCAGCCTGTAGTGCGTAGCAAGGGCCCTCGCGAACTTTTCCGTGTATTGCCTAAGCTTGCAAGGACACATATAAATCATTTCACCTGCCACGGTCAATCATGCTAGCATGACAATCCTGATCACACACAGCCTAGTCACTGGGAATCTTTGAGCAGCTTGGGCAAGCCAGTGAACTTCTTCTTCACACTTCGCCCATGTGCACTTCTACTCTGCGAGTGCACTGCAAGCTTTATTGTCTTCATCTTTGTTCTCTCCTCTACACTCAGATATCCTGCTCTGGCCACCAAGGCTTCAACCAAGCCTTGCCAATTCGACAGCAGCATGTGCCTCTTCAGCGAAGGGCTGCCGAATCGAATCATGTAGAAGAAGCCCTTGAAGACCTTGTCCGAGTTGGTGGGGTTGTAAACAGGCATTAGAATGAACACATTGTATTGCATATTCATCGAGGACTGTAGGCATGCCTAGTAGCAGGGGCTCTTTCCAGCAGCCATTGAAATGCCGGGTGGTCCACAAGACATGTCTGCGAGGGCTGCTCCAAAACCCATCGTCCATTACGAGCACAAATGACCAGGATAATCATCGCTACTCGTACCAGCAAAACATTCCCCACATGCACGAAACCGTAGCCCTCGTTGCCCTTCGGCGTGATATGATTTCTCCCGGAAGTGCTTCTTGACCTCAGAGAAAGGCAGACATACACCGTATATAGATTGCATATTGGCATGCACTAAGCACAAACCCCTAAAACATTGCACCAAGCCACATCACTGAGTAAGATGCACATGGGAGGCCAATGACACAGAGGCCTGTATCCATCTTGAGACGACGAGCTTCATTCAGGGCCGTCCTTATAGTGAGAACACAGGTCCAGGCTCCCCAACACACATGTAGACTCACTTCACAGCTTTCAGTCTAGTCTAGTCACAGGAAGCCAGATATGCTCATCAAACCATGGCCCATCGGATCAGTTTCCAAATCCAGGGATGTTCCAATCAGACCCAGGTCCTGAGGGAATAGATCTTCGGTTGATTTCGGATTCGAAAGACTCCTCCTGACAATCCCAGGTTCGGTGCGGAAGCTGGCGCCGACAGAATCGCAGCCAGAGAAAAGGTGCAAGAAATCAAGGTCCTGTGCGGGCTCATCGGAATTCTGGTAAATATCTTATAATCTAGATGGGAGACGTGGCAGAATGCATCATAGAAGCAGTCCTCATTTTGTAGGGCCTTTTCGTGAAAGGCCAGGAGCACCACACACATGATCAATTGCAGCGGGGCACCCCATCGTAACAGCTCTGCTACGACCATGGCCACTGGTGGCCCCAGCTGTGATCTAAAGCGTAGCAGCCTGGAGCCCTGTGCACAGAAAGAGAGTTTGAATGCAGAACATGACAGGCTCAATTTGGTATGATACACAGAAAGCGATTTCAGGCTTTGAATGATGCCGGGCACTTGCAGCTGGTCTCAGGTTGTCTCAGGTGCATTTCGAATTGTAGACCAGAATTTACACTGCAGAAATTTGCACATGGATTAAAGCTGCAGAGCCTGAAAGCTAAATGAAGCGTCGTCGCTTCAATTCGTTCTGCGATAAGCCTTCCAGCCAGGAAGCCCTTGCAGAGCTCTGATTCCACTTTTGACAAGCTTCCTTCCATGAGAAGCCCCGGTCGCGCTTCCTTGCAATAAACCTTAAGCGAGCTTCTTTGTAGGATCCAGGCACATATGCACAATCCGCCGTCATCGTCCTCTTCATGCGCTGCATGGCCTCGGTTTCCTCGCCCTTCTTATCTGTGCTGGGATCTTGTTTCTCCTTCTTGGGGTCCTTCTTCGCCTGAACCTTTGAAGCTGTGCAATTCTTGGAGTCCTGGGCCTTCTTCGCTTTGGGCTTTTTGGAGGCTTTGGCCTTCTTATGCCCGTCAGGATCCTCCTCATCGCCATCGCCGGGTCCATTTGCAGCACCGCCCTCATCATCTTTGGCCCACCTAGCTCGACTGCAAAATGACGACCCACCCGCAAGCAACCCAACAGCAACATCAACACAGTTCTTGAAATTGACATGGAGCACAACACTATTGAAAATGCAACCGAGCAACTGTACACTGGGCAGGAACGGCTTTGCGGGCTCCGAAGGTATCAAGGTCCGAAGGCTATCCAGAACCTGCAGTCTCTATATTTAGCAAATTGAAATCACAACAGGCATCCCCCCAATATTGAATACACATCAGACAAGAAGCCTTCTCGGGAAGCATCTTCTCCTCAATATCCTTCTGGACACCTTTCTTGGGCTTCTTATTTTTCGAAACTGCTTTGGGGTCCGCAGCTTCTGCCGTCGATGCCGCAGCAGGCTCCTGCTTGGCACACTTGGCTTGCAGCCTGGCCAAGACCATCCTCGGATATAGCATTGTTCAAGCTGATGAAGACAACACTCGGACTGTTCAAGGCAGCATGCCAGCATCCACCTAAAACTAACTATTCCACGAAAAGGCTCTGCATCTCACCAGTCAAAGCTGGGATATGGAGCGGCGGGGTCACCACCGAGCTGGAGCTCTCAACCTTGTGTTCATTGGAGTGCAAATGGCAACACAAAGAGACATCCCACTGAACAAATATTGGGAAGAAGCTGCATCGTCGTGCTCGGCCAAAGAAGACAGAGCAGCATCTTCATCTTCAGGTGATTGGCTGTCCTCCTCACCCTCCGACTCAGAATCCTTTGCGTGCTGGATTGCTAATGTGGCTGCACACCGTCATGCGTGGGCCAAGTGCACAAGTATAGAAATCACAAGCCCAGACTCCTCACCATCCAGGTATCCAGCCAGCTCAGCCTTCAATTCCCGGAGCTGGGCCTGATGGGAACTCCTTGCTCGACGGGCAAGGTGCTTGAACTTGGTCACCTCGGCTACAGACAGGCAAAGGAACCCATTTCGATCGGAACAAATCCCACTCTAGCTGTAAGACCAGCCGCAAGCTTCCGGATTGCTTGGCCAGTTCGACAGGCCCAGTTCTGGACGGCAGGTGCACTTATGAGCACACCTTTAGGCAAGATCTTGTTGTTGTTCACAAAATGCAGTATCGCATCGCTGTATATATAAGCGCTCTGGCGCTTGCGCGACTTCAGCTGTCCTCTCACTGCTGCAGCAATGACCTTAGTATGTTGAGCAACAAGCTTTGATCTGTATGCACTACATTCCATATCCCATGATATATTCAGATGGGGCACTCTCGGGTTGGCGATGCAATCTTTGCGTGAAACCACCTTCCTTTTTGTGAGCAGCTTGCCCGATGGGTCGATCACCATGTTCAAGCCTGCCTCAGATTGCAAATATTGAGCTGCAAGAACTCACGCAAAACAACATGTATATATATAATATAATTCTTCAAAGGTGCCGAAATGAGGGACGGCTCCTTGCTCAGCTCCTCCGAGACACGTACAGCCTCAGAGCCTGGTTCAAAGTGAACCTTTTCAGGAATCACAGCAGCCATGGCTAGCAAAAGGCGAACCCCAGTGCACAGGAAATTTGCAATGCCCGAGGTCAGGACCTCGGGAACCCTAGCTTTTGTTTAGGTCTGCAGGGCATGATCTGGCATCTGACACATGCGGAGCTCGAACAAAAAAACTGAAGCACTCGCCAATCTTATCCTGCATAATGCGCAAGCACTCACTGCACTGCTTCAGTTCCATGCTCCTGCAAAAACACGTACATTGCATGAAGCCGCCGACTGGCGCCTGAGTCATCATCTGGATCACGTGTGACCCTGCAGATCTTCGGCTTGTACTTTGCCGGCCGAGGCATCCTGCACAGAAGCTGCTCGTTGGAACAATTAAAACAACACAGAGCAGCCAAACCTTCTATAGAGGCCATACAGCAAATCTAGAATCCCGATTGTTTCCTGACCCTGGCATTCTGAAACTCTGACCGGAATCTGTTCATTCTGTACCGACCTTGATGCACCATCGCCGCTTCACAGCTTCACCAGTCCTGCACAGCACCAGCTGTTCACACACACCGTTTCTCGACACTCTTTACATTCACAGAACCCATATGTGCAGCAGAAGGGCCAAGCTGCATAGAAAAACCTCAGAACGTCGAGCTCGAAGTTGTCGAAGAGGAAAAAGGTCCTCCAAACAAAGTATTTGTCCAGGTCTCTGTTTGTCGGAAAACTGAACTTCAAGACCGCCCGGTCCTGCCCAACAATCTTGCAACGGAGCACCATGCACCCCACGTGTGGGGCCCACAGGGGTTGCAACTCCGAACTGACAGCTTGTGGAACATGCAATCTCACAGATTTATTTGTCAATGCCACGAGCTTTCAACTCGCTTGCCTGCACATGTAGAGCTGCAGACATGTAGAGCCAGCTGCACACACCGACTCGGGCGGAGTTTGCAGACACGATCACTGCAGCATGTGCGTCTCTGCGATCTTGCGAACTGCACTTGCAAAACTGCATGCAGACTTCGATCGACCTGCAGAAAGAATTTAGTATCACATCTATAGGGAATTCAGGAATTAGGGTTTTTCTCTCCCGCACTCGTTCCGCCGAAGGTCAAATCTTCCCTACGCATGCATGAGCAAAATTGGGGGAGGGGTCCCGGCATAGAGCATCATGGGCAAGATATTCTGACCAAAATATGTCGAAATGCATGAGTTGAGCCAATTCGGTGCAGTTCGGTCTTGTTCTATCCCGTGCACAACGACCCATGGCCGGTTTAAGGGACATTTCAAACGTACCTTAAAATAAGGGTCATTTGAAAAGCGCAACGTCAGCTTTTTTAAGGGTCAAGCCGTCCCCAAGGTAGTCATTAGCTGCCAGAGTCCAAAGTTGACTTCGACGCACTGCGATGGCAGCCAGTGCAAAGTTGTAACCGGAAATGTCCCACCCAAGCTCTCCCATGGCAGCCGCAGAATTCTGCCAGAAGTGTGCGCCAAGGAGTTCTCGGGCCCATGTCTCAAATAGCTCATCAAGTGCAGTCTTGGCTGCAGCAGAAAGCCCATACAACCATGAACCTAACGAGAGGACAGAGAACACCTTAGACCAGAACAGTTCAAGAACGACATGTAATGGAAGCGCATTGCCGCGGCAGATTCCTAAAAGGGATCCCAAACGATCCAAAGTATCGTTATAGTCAATACTTTGGTTTTGGGTGAGTGCTGGGCTAATTCTGGGAAGTCGCGAAGCGTCTGGGGCCAAAGTGTTGTCTCTGCCCAATGTGGCATCTCTGCAACTTTTGAGCAACGTCTGTTGACGAAAAATCAGATCATTATCTTTGGGGTTTGTCTTGCCTGGCTTCAGGATCCGAATAGCATTGAGTTGTTCAGTTAAACTGAATATTTATGCCCCACCGGATCGGTAAAAGAGAGAGAGAGAGAGAGAGAAACAAACCAAATAAAACAGAGGGCAGGAAGAGACACGGACACAAATCCCATGCCAAAGCACACACACACACAGTAAAAACAATTGAAACACCCCCCGCACACACACACAGTACACGAGACACCACACGTGACACACACACACACACACACACTGCAATACATACATATATATATATATATGTATATGTGCACTTTAAATACAGTGACACATATATGTCAAAGCTTTAAAACTAATCCCCTCCCGCACATCTAGTTCGAGAGTACACACATATATAGGGCTAGTTTTAAAACACACACACACATATGACCTACATAACAAAGACACACACAGATATATATATATATATATATATGACACACACACCCACACACACATACACACACACACACACACTTTGACACTTGCTCGCCGATCCGACGATCGTGCACGTGAAGCTTGGCTTGCATCTCTGGCCGTTCTGGGCTTTAGGGTTGATTAGGGTTCAGGGTTTTAGGGTTTAGGTTCGGGTTTGGGCGTGTCGTTCTTCTCGGTCATTCGGGAACCCAGGACCCTAGCGACCCTTAGAACCCAACCATACCCCAAGATTTTACCCTGACATCCTGAAAACTGCAGTACAAAGCAGCGTTGACATTTCCCGGCCCATGCGTGCGAAATCCACGATTGCTGCAAATTTGCAGGGCAGAAAACCCTCGAACCATATAGTAGAAACCCCTAGCTAGCTCCTAATCTCCTATATAGTACTATACATATTATGGCTTAGGCCCCGCGTGCACCGGCAGCTGCATTCAGCAGCTTCATTTCGAAGCTTCAAAAAAAGCTCCACTGCACGAAACACTCAAAGCTCCACATCTCTGCCCACCGAAGCTTGCAGCCTCGGCTGCTTGGCGAATTTATCCTCAGCCCTGGACATCAACATTAACTGTATAATTAAGGCGAGGGGCCAAAGGTAGTATCGTCGGAGCGTGCTTTTTTCCAGGCTTCTGGTGTGCACAGAGCTCGCGATTCCTGGTACGTAGTAGCAGTAGCAGTAGCAGTCTAGTAGCAGCAGTCGTAGTAGTAGTAGTAGTAGCAGCAGAAGACGACTTAGTAGTAGTAGTATTAGTAGTAATAGTAGTACTAGTAGTAGCGAGCAGTAGTAGTATAGTAGTAGTAGTAGTAGTAGTAGTAGTAGTAGTAGTAGTAGTAGTAGTAGTAGTAGTAGTAGTAGTAGTAGTAGTAGAAGTAGTAGTAGTAGTAGTAGTAGTAGTAGTAGTAGTAGTAGTAGTAGTAGTAGTAGTAGTAGTACTAGTAGTAGTAGTAGTATAGTAGTTGGTACGGTAGTCGTAGTCTAGTCGTACTAGTAGCAGCAGTGCAACAGTACATACGTAGTAGTGTTTGTTGTTGCAAGACAAGAAATTTTAAGTAGTGCTACCGGTATAAGATGGCAAGGTGCTGACCAGTCTGCCGTTGAAATCCTCCGCAGAGAACGTATGGTAGTACCGAAAGTTGTATCTTTCCCGGCTGCTGAAAAAGATCAATTCCTGGATTCCCTCAGATCGCGGCTAGAAGCTTTACGGCTTTCGGGTTTGAGGGTGCTAGGGTTATAGGGCTTACAATAATTTATGTAAAACCCAGAAAACACAAGTTAGCAGTTATCTAGTTTTTACCGGGTGGCATGAAGTTTGGGACGAACCTGAAAGTAGGGCTTCCCTTTCTCGGCATAAAGCTTCGCGAGCCAGCCGTATGCATTCAGAAACATGTCCTCGGATGGTGGGTATACCCATATAAGTAAGATAGCATATACCTCCAGCCTATATATAGCCCAGAGTCACAGCAATGCCGCATTCGGCCGATGTCCGCATCGCTAAGGTATCTCGACGCCTGCTCCACACAGTTCATCAAGTCGGCGATGTAGAACCTGGCTGCAGCGATTCATGTAGGGTTGGGGGGTTATAGGGTTCAAGGTTTACATTTAGGGTTTCTTTTCAAAATTTATAGATAAAATATTTCCCGAAAGGACAAGCAACATGCATTGACCCAAAAGTCGCATTGTCTCATCAGCGGCATGCTCCGGATCATATAGAAGGGATGTGGTGCAGTGCGAAAGCCAGCTGGTGATCACTCTGGCCTTAGCTATATTAGTTAAATGAGGTTATCGACAACACGAATATAAGTTTAGGAGCTTCCATTAAGTCCGGCGGCATTGTATGCCTTCACTCCGAGTTCAACCTCCCCGTCCTTGCCGCGAAGGATTTTCGGAGTAAACTTTGGCTGCGAGTGCACGATCTTGTGAAGTTTGCACCAGCTACAGAAGTCGGCATAGGCGGCCGCCAAGCGTTCGTTAGCTGTTCCAGCACCCCACACCTCCTGGCACGATTCTTATAAGAACTGTGACACATCGTTTGGGTTCGGGGTTTTAGGTTTGGGCTTGAGGCTTCAAGATTAAGGTTTAGGGTTTGGCGCTTTGTGGTTTTGGCTGAATACCACTGCAACTTCCCGGGGCCTTTGACATCAGGATTTCGATGCAGGCGGCACCTGCCCAAAGCATAATCCCAAGGTTGACTGTGTGCAAGCTGCACCAGCGAAGCATGCCAGCACCCCATCCAAGGATGTTGGTGATGACACCTGCGTGGACAAATTGGTTGTGGCTTCGAGTCTGGACAAGCAAATAAATAGGCTTCGTGCAATGCAACATACTTGGATTCCAGGCTTCGGGTGTATGGGGTATACTAGCTTTTGTTGCACTATAAGAACATGAACAACTTGCGGGTTTCAACCCAGAAGCTCGTACTGCCAGTATCATCCACCAAGCTTGTGCATACTTGGGCGAAGTTGTCGGGGTCCCGTCTGGGCAGAGCTTCCATCGTTGCCATTCGAGGGTCATCGAAGAATGAGTGTAGTTGGGCGTGGCAATGGTGGCATACATTGTTGCTGCTCCATCCGATTCTCTTCAACCCCATCCATTCCTAGGTAACATGATCTCTAAATGGTTTCGATTGAGAACAATTCGGGTCTCAAGGTCTAGGGTCTTGCTTTAGTTTATGCGTAGCCATTATTGTACATAAGCTGGAAATTAAACCGGTATCCGAGTCACCTTGTAAAACTTCCAGTCTGCCCTTAGCTCGGTCACAGCAGCCAGCACTGGCTCCGCTCCGGGGTCGTCGTTCGGATAGCAGCCCTGGAAGAGCTGGTTCAAGGAATCGACCACCTCAGCACAGGTAGCAACACATCGTTCAGTTCTGAAAATACATGTACTCTGTGAAATGGTTTTGGTTTGGGTTGAAATCATATGCTGATTTGGGTGCAAGCGGCAGGCCTCATAAAGGCCTGAATCGTGGAAAACCCGGTCGACAATGACTGTCAGGGATGATACTTACTGATCACGAAATCTACACACGGGAGTGGGCTTAGCTTGAGCTCCAGGGCTTCACACCTCTCTGATGATGAAAAGGGGCCAATGTGTGGCCATCGAATGTGTCCTCATGTCCAGGACCATGCCCAAACTCACTTGCGTGAGTTTCTCCTCATTCGTCCATTTTACATCATCAGCATAGAGAAACAAGGGCAGATGCTTGCAATCTCCCCCTTGGGCCCGGAGTGGATGTTGCGGACCCCAGTCTGCGTGCTCGAACATATGCACCCAATATCGCTGCATCTCTGCGGGGTCGGGCACTAGGTGCTTGATCTTCAGCAGGTGAGGAATCAATTGATGAGGGAGCACCAATGGTAGTTTCCTGATTCCCGGATAATGAGAGAACACAAACCACGATGTTGGTTTCCTAACGTGTGATATTGGGTTGAGGGTTTCATGGTTTAGGATCGAGGGTTGGGGGCCTAGGGTTTAGGGGCTTGAGGTGTAGGAAGTCTTACAGTAGGAACTTAGAGAGTTTAATGTTCATGGTTTTAAAGGGTAGAGTTTGGCATATAGCACATGGTACATACTAGGATTATTCGGAGGAGGCCTCGTCACCACAGTGGGGTCCGTTGCACTCTTCATCATTGGAACATCCACCGTAGCCAACGGCACCTTAGATTGCATCGGTGAGCATGTATGATCTTAAAATGTTGGTGAAGCTCCACATATATGTCACTCATCAAGAAGTCGTGTCTATGCTTTTAGGTAGGGTTCAGGAATTTAGGGTTTGGGGTTTGACGGTCCAGGGTCGAGGTTTTAAGTATTGGGGTCCCATCTGAGTCGATCGCCATATCCATAGCTCCACACAGAATTCTCATCGAATCTCGTTGCAAGTTTTGCGGATGTTTCCCACCAGCACCAGCCAAACGGAGTCTCCCCGCTGTCCCCGGCAAAGTGCCACCAAAACCATCAAGCTCCTGTCGACAGTTTTTTTTAGTTACAAACCTTATAGTTGGCCCTCCTAGTACTATATAGTTGGCGACACGGAACGGAACCTTCTGGGACTCTTCCAAGAGCTGCCGGGCCTCGACGAAGCTGAGGTCCTGAATGGTGCGGGCTGCTGTTGGCGTGGGAACGAAGGCAGGCTGGGTTCACTAAGCACCGGACCCCTTTACCAGTGCATCGGAGGATGTGCCGTCCCAGTGGCCCCAGGTCATCCACGGATTCTGCGGAAGCGGGGTTGTGCTAGTTACGGTACACATGCATGTGCAACACACCTCGAGGCTAAGCGTGCATTTTCGGATTGTGCTTTGAAAGCTTCCCCGGCACATTCGAGGGTCTGGCATCGCGATGCATGAAATGTAGATGGGCCGTGAGACCCAGGTTCCAGCCCGGGCCCACAAACAACAAAATCTGTGTGCACTTCTAGCTGGCTCGGAAAAGAGCACGACGATCCGAGCTGCAAGTCTGCTTCTAGATCTAGCAAAACGGCAACTCGAGTAGCCGCACAAGATGCTGCCGAGCTACCACGAATCACTAGTCCGCAGTATAAACTTATATGTGTGCCCTCAGTAGCTAGGGACTCCCGCGTGAAGACCTTAAGTTGTAATGGTGAGCCCGGCAACACCCAAACAGCTCACCAGTCCACGGCACACCTAGCCAAGCTCAGCCTTGATCACTTCTTCTTCCCACGGCCAGCCTTCGCTTTGGCTTTCGCTTTCGACTTCGGGCCCGCCTGGGCTGCAAGTGGGATGGCTCTTGTCAGCAAGCCCGAAGCTCCAAACCCCGTACCTATAGCCGAAACCCAAACCCTAACCTTTAAACCCTGAGCCTGGCCTAAACCTTAAACCCTAAACCTAAAGCCCTAAAAAAAACCTTAGCCCCTATAAACCTAGCCTCTAAGCCCTTTATAAAGACTCTTAAAGGACCCTAAATTAAACCCTAAACCTAGCTTATTTTATGCCTTATGAATATTTAGACTCAAACCCAAAGCCCAGCCTAGACCCCATACCACAGGAACCTTCTTGGCAACTGGATTTGGTACACTTATCATACAGCTCGGGTTCCAGAGGCTTGGGCGGTTTTCCTAGTTTATAACTTAGATTATGGGCACCCAGAGTGGCTGCCTGCTTTGAAGAGATGCTCCAGAGGCTTGGGCGGCTTTCCTAGTTTATACTAATTTATAGTTTGTGCACCCAGATAGTTAGCTTATGCTGTCTGCTTCTTTTTGTTTTAGATGGGTCGGGCACCAACTGCTCGGACTTAGAGAGATTATGGTTTGCCCTAAACCATCTAAGGTATGCTCTGGGACCAATTACACTGCAACAATATGCTATCTGGCGGCCGACATCTTCTTCATCGCATTCGTCGACTGCACGTAGTTGGTAATCTTTTGATTGAGAACATCTAAGAGCTCCTGAAGCCGATCACCCGAGCCCTTCTCCACCTCAGTGCTCAGCTTGTCCTTGGTCTGCTGAAGGCACTGGCTGTGGTTCTGCAGATCCTTCAGGAAGCCATCGCGGATCGGCTGCGACCTGGAATGAAGGGTGGGTCGGCAGAGGCTAAGCTAATAAGTCTAGGCTTTAGGGTTTGGCGGTGCTTAATTTCGAGACCCCAGCCGGAGATTTTACCAAGTAGGGTTTAGGGGTCCTAATTATGTGTTGGGGGTTTCGGTTCTTGGTCGAGACTTGAGGCCAAGGACTTCAAGTATTAAGATTGTTGCATCAGGGGTACATCTCCTCGTTCTGGGCGACCTCCTCCTGCAGCACCTTCGCCTCGTCTATCTTTGAAGAAGCCAGGGCAATCTTGTTCTTAGACTGGTTCGTCAGGGCAACCTTCTTCTTCTTGTCCATGGCTTCCCCCGGGGGTGCAAGGGTCGAGCCTGCCTCCTGATCACCAAGAGCCATTGGCAAGGCCATCGACGACGGCCGGCGCTGGATGCCAGCACCGTCGCCGGATCCGCTTGCAGCGGCACCGGAGCCGCTCGGCATGGCAATCTCGAGGCCATGGGCCATGGTGGTCCTGGCGGGCATTAGCGGGGCAAGCTAGAGGGTTCTGGGGCATTGTTTTTCAAACCTAGAATCACTACATTCTACAGTAGGTACTTTGGATCCTCGGGATTATTTGCTTAATTCAGCACAGTGGCATCACGGTTCGAGTGGACCCCTCATCGAGCTGCAGATCGTCTGTCTGCAAGGTCGTTGTTTTCGAAGACTTGTCGTTTCGCGTCAGGGTCGCCTCTTTAAAGGTGCGGATCAACGTCCACTCCTGTCAGGGTGATAGGGTTCAGGGCTATCATTAAAGGTTCAAGAAATATTTATACTACCTTTTTCCCACTGGTGCCTTACATCCAGGCAAATCCGGATGTTTCAACACGAACGGAGCTTCCTGGCTATCCTCGGGTAGACTCGCTTGGAGAGCCAGCTTTGAGCGGTATATCTCCTCTGCATGCTCGTCACCCTCCTTGGAGCGTAGGTCACACAATCTCACATAATGCTCCTCGCCTTTCATGATCTTTTCAACGGAGTTCTCTATCTTGCAGACGATGGCCGATGCCATCCAATTGCCGCCTGCTTTGAGGTACTCCATGAAGAGGTCGTCCAACACCCGTGAGCCTGGGGGCATCGTAGTATTATGAGCAGAACATCGAACATAATTATATTTTGTAGTAGGACCGGTGCGTTTCTTCGCATTACATTATTGATGCAAGCTTAGGACCGGTGCCTCGCTTTGCATCGACCGAAGCTTCCACGACTGCTGCTGGGCAGTTGTTGCCTTGGCATCAGTGGCTTGAACTAATTATATGGTTTTGACCCAGAATATTTAGGGGTTTATCTAGGTTTTGAGGGTAGGCTGGTCTAAGGCTTTAGGGTTTTGTTTGTAATGTGAATGTGTGATGATTCAGAGCCAGCACACTGTTCAGTATTGTATGAAGTTTGTTGGATCTGGCACGGGTAAATTTGGGCCTGGGCTTGAGGGGTTTAGGGGGATGTACGTTAGGGTTTTTTTCGGGGCCACCAAATATAGCTTGAGGCATTTAAGAGTTTAAGGGTTTAGGGGTATGGGGTCGCGGTGAAGACTCTATCTATGGGACTATATAGGGATTATTTTACATAGTCGGGTGCACTTCGGATCGAAGGAGTCAGTTCAGGGCTTAAGGAGCTTAGAGATTTCAGGGTTCCGTAAAACAATGCGAAGCACTCCGGATGGACCTGTGGAACTTCATGAAAACATTGTGAGCCACCCTCGTCATCCACTGCTCCTGGGATTCGCCTTCCTTCTGGGTTAGCGTTGCTTCCTGCCAAGAGAAAGGTTTCGGGCTACAGGGTTTAAGGGCGGCATGAACCCAAAACTGTCCGGATTCCTTCGATAATTCTACACTAATTAATTGGACCCCAGCACCCCGAAAACCGGCCCCGGGGCTAGCACCCTTTGCAACAAGTGAAACTCGGGTCCTTCAAGTCGAAACAGTTGGGCTTCTCCAAAGCTGCGAAAACGGCATCCGTTCTTTGCTGCGTCTTGCTGGGGCCGGTGGCCAACTGGAGCCCTGCTGGATCCTGCTGATTGCCTGTTCCCTGTGTGGCTTCTGCTTTGTTCGGGACCCCTGGCTTCGAATCCAATCCTTGCTGCTCGGCTTCCTGGCTTGTTCCCTCCACGGCTTGTGTTTGGCTCTGGACCCCTGGGTCTGATCTTTGCGTGGCTTCTGCTTCGTCCAAAACCCCTGGCTTCGAATCCACTCCTTGCTGCTTGGCTTCCTGGCTGCCTGTTCCCTGTGTGGCTTCTGATTTGTCCGGGACCCCTGGCTTCGAATCCAATCCTTGCTGCTCTGCTTCCTGCCCTGTTCCCTCCATATGCATGGCTTCTGCCCTCCGGGACCCCTGGCTTCGAATCCAATCCTTGCTGCTCGGCTTCCTGCTCTGTTCCCTCCATGGCTTCCGCTTCGTTGGGGACCCCTGGCTCCGACTCCACTCCTTGCTGAGCGGTTTCCTGCTCCTCCACCAAGGTCTCCGGCAGCGGGAGCGTGGATGGCTCCTGGGCACGGTCATAGGACGTGTGATCCTACATAGTGGTGCTAGTATATGTGGTGGTGGTGGTGGTGGTGGTGGTGGTGGTGGTGGTGGTGGTGGTGGTGGTGGTGGTGGTGGTGGTGGTGGTGGTGCTGGTGGTGGTGGTGGTGGTGGTGGTGACGGCGGTGGTGGTGGTGGTGGTGGTGGCGGTGGTTTGATAGCGTTAGTGGTAGTGGCAGTGGCAGTGGTAGTGGTAGTGGTAGTAGTAGTGTAGTAGCAGTACTAGTAGTACTAGTACTAGTACTAGTACTAGTACTAGTACTAGTAGTGCTAGTACTAGTAGTAGTAGTAGTAGTAGTAGTAGTAGTAGTAGTAGTAGTAGTAGTAGTAGTAGTAGTAGTAGTAGTAGTAGTAGTAGTAGTAGTAGTAGTAGTAGTACTAGTACTAGTAGTGCTAGTACTAGTAGTAGTAGTAGTAGTAGTAGTAGTAGTAGTAGTAGTAGTAGTAGTAGTAGTAGCAGTAGCAGTACAGTGGTCGTAGAAGATGAAGAAGTAGCAGGAGTAGTAGTACTCATAGTAGATAGCATGAGTACTGTAGTAGTACAGTAGTAGTGGTAGTGGTAGTGGTAGTGGTAGTGGTTGGTAGTGGTAGGGGTAGGGGTAGTGGTAGTGATAGCGGTAGCGGTAGCGGTAGCGGTAGCGGTAGTGGTAGTGGTAGTGGTAGTGGTAGTGGTAGTAGTAGTAGTAGTAGTAGTAGTAGTAGTAGTAGTAGTAGTAGTAGTACTAGTACTAGTACTAGTACCAGCAGCAGCAGCAGGAGTAGTAGTAGTAGTAATACATAAGTCCAAGGGGCATGTGTAGGACTGATAGCTTTAGTTTCTGAAACTTTGGATGATTGGTTGAAACTTTGGGCTGAGGGTTCAAGGGTTGCAGGTCAACCTTATTTCGGCAGGCTCTACGATGTGGAGTTTCGGGTTATAATTGGGGGGTATTTTGCTCGCATCCAGAGGACCCAGGCCTCTAGAGAGAAGTTAGCCATAGATTCCTCCAGCTCGTTCATGAAGAGCACCTCGTCGTCCTCTACCGGAATATCCCCCAGGTGACCAAAGTCCCGGAACAGCCCCCATAGGCCTTCAAAGCAGACGACTGCTTTGTCGATGGCCACGAGTGCAGCCATCTCCTTTCGGTCCAGGTGACTTTGGATCTCTGCAATCTTCTTGGCCCTCCACTGCTCCGTGGCTGTAGCACGTCGGTGCAATTGGTCCTCGGTCAAGTCGCCGCTGTCCAGCTGTTGCCGAAGCTTGTGGATCATGTGCTCGGATTGGTTGTGGACTGCCTCCGTCATGGTTTTGCTTTTGTCCTTCAGAAGCTCGAACAAACCAACCTCATTCCAAGCTGCATTGATCAGTTGCAGATTCCACGGCAAGCCCTTGGGATCCAGAAGCAAGTCGCTCCTGCAATCATCCATCAATACAACACCTTGCTTCGGATGCCGAGGCAAGGCATCCTGCATCCACGACATCATCGCAGCAGCATCTTTGACACGAATCACTTCTTCAAGAGAGGGCCACTGCTTGTCCTGACACGGCATCCCATAGTAGCCCTCGAAGATCAACCTCCGGACACTTGTCGAGGGGTCCTCGTGTGCCTCCGGAAAATCCCCCAGCACCAAAGTGCTTGTTGAGCGAGCCACCGTGGTGAGGCTGTCCGGCCTGCGGATCGAGGAAGTGCTGAGCTGCACCGGCGACGAGCGGATTGGGCCTGCATACATTAACAAAGCACAATTACAATTATAGGGTTTAGGGTCTATAGGGATTGGGGTTTAGGGTAGGCACACATCCTAAAAAGCAAGTATGCCTAATCCTCTATGAAAAGAACCATTTATCTAGCTCAAAACCAAACAGCACCCTCTACAATGAAGCTAGACATGCATTTTGACTACATATAGGGTAGATAAGAAGCATTTAACCTAAAGGATGCACATAAAACCTGTTTGGGAATTATTCCATAAAACCTGTTTGGGAATTATTACAGGGGTAATGATATATAGAGACCGCCTGGCGCTTCCGGAGGCTCATCAGCAGCAGAACTTGGCACCTCCAGCAGGGACTCACAATTGGTTAGAACAAAGCCAATGAAGCTATGGATCAGTACTATTCAGGGTGTTGCACTTTGAGTTTCGAGTTCAGGATTTAGGGTTTAGGGGGTTTAGGGTTTAGGGGGTTTAGGGTTTAGGGGGGTTTGGGGTGTAGGGTTTAGGGTTTATACTATATAGCTATACGTACAGTACATGTTGATGTGGCCGCGGCCTCTTCAAAGAGTGTCCTCCGGGCTTTCTTGTACTTAACGGGTGTGTAGCCTGGCTTCATGGGTGTGCCTTTGGCAGGGATTGGCGTAGAGCCCGACATGTGCACATCCTTGGCTGGGCTCGGAGGTTTTGCGGAGGCCTTTGGCACAGGCGGGCTCATGTTGATATCAGCATCGGGTTGGCTCTTCACTCCCTTCTTGAAGGGGGTGCTGGGAGGCTCTTTCATCGGCACTTTCGGAAAGCCAGCTTGTCCCGAGGCTGGCGGGCGGCCCATGACTGCAACACTGCCGGCTTTGATGCTGCCTGGTGCAGGCTGGGCAGCTGTTTTCGGCGTCTGCGTGGGCTGCACGGGTGGGGCCTGGCCTTTCGGAGTGGCGGGCTTGGAGGTCGGAAGTTCTCTCTTCGTCGGCACCAGCGGAGAACCTCCTTGGGTTTAGGGTTTATAGGGATGAGAGAGGAATTCAGGGTTTAGGGGTACGGGGTTTAACTAATATTAGCATTCAAAGCTAGACTTTACAGTTCAAGCCTAGAAGCCTTTGGTTGCTGTCAGCTTCAAATCCACCGGACCTTTAAGGGCTGGAGGCGGAGATGTCGTAGGCTTCTTTGCAGCAGGTGCACCGGGCACAAACGGCGTCTTGCCACTCATGCGTCTCGTCGGCTTTGCTGCTGCTTGTGTCCCACCAGTGTCTCCGGAACCTGTATGCAGCGGTCTTCTTGCTTGATTACAGCTTACTCTATTTAAACTATATGAACATCCCTGCCAGCCTTCTATGCCTGCAGCTTTCAAAGCTTCTGCAACCTCATCAGCGATCTTCTTCTTGCCCTGCCCGATAGGTTCAGAATTTGGGGATGGGCTACTGGTTGTATAATGGTGCTTGGGCTTGAGGATTGTGATATGAGGTACAGGTACATGTAGAAGTAGCTATGATCACGAGGATGTGGCCTCAAAGCCTTGGTCTTAGATTACTAAGATTTGATTATACCACACGTTATGGATCTGAAGTGAAGCCATTTATGGGCTGAGGGTGCAGGGGGTCTGGGCAATGGTTGGGGTTTGCTAGCTAGGGATCGATCATATACACACATGATTTGGGATTTGGGGGCTTCGGGTTAGCGGCTTAAGCCGGGGCCTGTGCTTGCTTGGGTACTCCAGCGGCCCCCGTGGAAGCCATGGCACCAACTAACGCCCACTAACGGTTCCTAACGGTCAAAAGTCTCCCAGACAGCCCTTTGAACCCCAAATAACGCTCCCTAACGGTCCGGACCGAATCCCAACTAACGGCCCCTAACGGTTGCTAACGGCCAAAAGTGTCCCAGAGGCTCCCTTGAACGCCAAATAACGCTCCCTAACGGCCGTGATTTTGACCCAAACTCCACTAACGGCAAATAACGGCTGCTAACGGCGGAAAGTGCTCCAAAGGGCCCTTTGAACGCCAAATAACGCTATTTAACGCCTTCGGTGGTTTTCTGCAAGGGAACCCTGTGTTTGCAGCAGGGACTGCTCCGATAGTCACATTTGAGCAAATCAAGGCCTCGCGTCACAGGCTTCGAAGGCATCCCTCTCTGCATGTGCAGCCGGACATGTACCGTAGCATGTGCATGATCTTCATACTAAAAGGTTCCGAAGTACTTTGACGATCTGGGGAACCCAAACCACTAGTATAGTAACCCCTAGCAATCTATACTGTTAACATTTCATTTGGACCCTGAAGGGAACTCCAATGTCGTCGGATTATCTTGATCATCGACATCCATGGATCACCTACATGCAGCCCCTTGGCATTATAGCAGAAAGCCACACGAGCTGCTTTATTGTCCGATCTAGCAGCGATACATGCCGATGCGACAACAAACATCTGCTGTACATGTCCAGTGCAACCCGAGCACCAGCCAGATAAATGTAGCTACACATACTATATGTAGACTGCATGATCAGAGGAGGAAAGCCCCAAAATCTTGCTAATGATTCAGCTATCAAATACCCCGGAAAGGTTTTATGATTTGGTTTGGCCGATACTTTGCCGATACCTCGATCGACTCTGGCTGGGTGGACATGTGCCACTAAACTTCACGACAAGTGTCTCTCATCGTGATCACTTCGAGGGCCATAGCAAGCAGTACGTATAATCAGTATTCGTTTCAAGACAATATATTTAAACCAATTGAATTGGACCCCTGAAGTCGATCCACAGCAGCCATTGCAAACGTGAGGCGTCGATTGCATCGATGGCCATGGGTGCCTGAGTTGCACGGTTTATGGCTTGGGGCTTATTTAAGGAATTGGGTTTAGGGTGTTGGGCTTTGGGTTTTAGGTATCCATTACACAGACATAGTTTCAAAGTTAGTAGACATATAGCTGATGTGTGCATGCATATACTGTTTCGGGGGCGGGCGAAGTGGGCGACAGATTTAGTAAAATAGGTTTCGGGGAGGGCGAAGAGTAGTTTTAAAGCGGGCCGGGCAAAGCGGGCGACACTAGCAAAGCATTTATTTAGTACTTAAATATGTATATGTATATAATCAATATATATATATATATATATATATATATATATATATTATAAATATATTATATATATATATATATTTATTTAGATATCCATACATATATATACATATATATATATATATATATATTAAGCCCAAAAGGCTCCATGTAGCCATGTATAGTATAGGCTTAAACCCTAAAGTACCCAGACAGGAACCTCTTTAAGGCCTAAGTAAAACACTACAGGGGTACATGGAGCCTTAGGTCAAAATACAGAGAGAGAGAGAGAGAGAGAGAGAGAGAGAGAGAGAGAGAGAGAGAGAGAGAGAGAGAGAGAGAGAGAGAGAGAGAGAGAGAGAGAGAGAGAGAGAGAGAGAGAGAGAGAGAGAGAGAGAGAGAGAGGGAAAGAGAGAGAGAGAGAGAGAGAGAGAGAGAGAGAGAGAGAGAGAGAGAGAGAGAGAGAGAGAGAGAGAGAGAGAGAGAGCGAGAGCGAGAGCGAGAGCGAGAGCGAAAGCGAGAGCGGAGAGCGGGAGAGTAGGAGAGCGACAGAGAGAGAGAGAGGGAGAGAGAGAGAGAGAGAGAGAGATTAGTCAAACCCCTACACCATAGCCCTGGCGAAACAAAGAGAGAGTTCAGGGTTTAGGGTTTTTGGGTTTAGGGCTTAGGATGTGATCAGGCCGATCTGTCGAGACTCGGTGGGCCCCGTTGGAGTCAGCAATGCATAGCCAGGTGGTCCATTCTAGATCCCCAGCAGCCTCAGGCCGAAGGATTCTTAATTGGCCCCAAAACCAACTCAACCCAACTTCCCATGATCAACTGGGGGCTTTTCAGGAGGTGATTTTGTTCTTCTGCTGAAGATTTGACATATGGGGCGTAAGATAGTAGTACTTATGCACAAGGTTCGATCTGTATGCTAAACCTATATACAGGTTTGAACCTTGACAACGTGTACTGCGAACCCCTATAATATTAGATACAAGCTCTTCATGTCTAGACTGGAGGCGGCACCCAACCCAAAGCAAAACCCTGAATCCGGAACCCACGATTCGCTCAGCCAGCCCAAATTCATGCACAACTTGAGCTCCCATTCAATCTTGTCATGGCAGATCTCTAGAACCTTGACAGGAAATGCTAATTTTACCAAGAATCAGTCGTTGATCCACCTGATCAGGAATGTCGGTACCTGGGCCGGACCCAATGGAATAACACCCTAAACCCCAAAGCTAAAAGCTTTAAAGCCTAAGCTGCTAAACAATGTAAAGTCTTCGTAAGTGTGCCCTGTCGCGAGTCCATGAAATCGCCAGTTGTCCCACTGTCCCGCTTGCACACAGCGGAAGGCTTTAGAGCTGTAGCTAAGGCGAATCGACACCAAGCATGTGTACATGGATCCTACGAAAATCCTTGAGACAATGATCGATTGTCTGAACCCAACACGACCGCTGCTGAATCACAGATCCTACCCTGCCCTAGGCGTGGGCGGCTCCAGCATTTCTAGCAGCACGTTTGAGCTCGATTCCGGAATCCCAGACTTGCAGACACGGAGGGATGGGCCGTGGCGTCATCTTAGTCTCTAGCTGCGGACCTCCAGGTCCGTGTACAGGTAAGGTCCGGTTTGTAATTGTTTAAGGTCTTACGGTTGATGATAGAAATCCTGCATTACCTTAAGGACCCTAAACTATGGGAATTATGATATATTCCTTACTATGGGTCAGGCAGGATTTACATCATCAACCGTATAATATTGGGGTCAGGGTGTTGGGGTTTAGGGTTGGGTTGTCTTCTTCAATTTTGGGGGAGAGTGGTTTCGCAGTTTTGGGGCATTGGGGCTTTGGGGTACCCTGATGTAAAGGCCTTGTCTCCGAATTAAAGGGGCTCCGTTGCCATTATTAGAACATATTTACACGTACAAACACTCACTCATGATACACCCCTGCATGCATGCATGCCTATACATGACAATGTACATACATACTTGACAAATATCTATATATATATATAGACACACGATACGTATACATATATATATATATACATACACCCACACACAGAATATACATATATACATACGGGAGTTTCCGAAAATAGGGGTACCTTATTCTAATCCTTATATACTAATAAGGATCCTACTATTTGGGATAGTACATTAGGGTCCCCTATGTTCGGAACCTCCCATATATGCATGCATGCATCTCGATACACACACACACTACATGCACAAATACACTATCAACACGTGTGTGCCTTTATAAAACTATACATACAGAAGAGTTGCTTCCACACATACTGCCATGCATGCTGACCGAAATAGGATTACATATTGCATGGGGCACACATACACATGTTCAATCTCACTGCAATCTGAGAACCCTAGGCCAACCAGGAATTTAGCTTGGCACAGGGAATGATGCTTAAAGCTACACCCACCCCATCTGTACATTCCGATGTGCGGAGGTCGCACAAGGTCCGACGGCTGACACTTTTAGTAAAGCGAGCCTTCAATTAAAATTCATCCGAGGGTGCACCACAAGGCCCTGCTACACGAATCGAGGGTGCCCAAGTGTGTTACGGCACTAGATCGAACATATACATATGTGTGCACAAAACCCTAACCTCTAATGCCCTAGACTGAAGACCCCGGGCCCAAGCTCACATCCCAAGACCTTCAAGCCCTAGCATTATATAATAGTCGCACCCGACTCGGATCCAGCATCCTAGGAAAAAACACCTACGGCGTCTCTTCGTGGCCCACTGGCTGCGGCTTCTCCTCCCAGCCGGCGATGATCTTG